CGGTGGAAGGGGGGAAGATGTTTAGCGCACTTACGAAGGCGGCCCAAACCTCGGCAGGTGGGCAACTTGTCCACAGCTCTCCCACGAGGTCTCCCGATTTGTGGCCCTCCCGCCCAGGTAAACCCGGGCACGTTGAAACTTGAAACTCTGGGATTGTTTTTTTTTTTGAAGAAACTCCGCCTGTGACCGCTGCACAGTTCGCAGAAATAACAGTCCACTGCAAGATTGGGCCGTGAGCAGTTCGAAACAGCAAGAAAAACAGTAAAGATACTAAAGAATGCTTTCCACGGCCTACCGGCTCATAATTGGCAAAAACGGGAGGTGGCCTGGCCTGGCAGGCCCTCCCGTTTTTTTTTGTTTTTCTTTTTTTCGTTTTTGGCTTCTGGCGGGAATGGGTTCGGGCTGAAAAACAATGCCACTTTGTCAGTAAAGGAAATAAAGGAAAAGCCGCCGACCGCTGACAAAGTGGGATTGTTTTTCAGCCCGAACCCATTCCCGCCAGAAGCCAAAAACGAAAAAAAGAAAAACAAAAAAAACGGGAGGGCCTGCTAGGCCAGGCCACCTCCCGTTTTTGCCAATTATGAACCGGTAGGCCGTGGAAAGCATTCTTTACTGTTTTTCTTGCTGTTCCGAACTGCTCACGGCCCAATCTTGCAGTGGACTGTTATTTCTGCAAATTCTGAACTGTGCAGAGGTCACAGGCGCAGTTGTCTCTTTTTTTTTTTTTGGTGGGACATTTGTGCGGCTGCCACGTCTGGGCTTTCTTTGGTGGTGGAGCATTGATGCACCCACAAAAAAGCAGATCTTTCGTGGAGCCAACTACATGTGTAACCAAAATGGGTTCCGGATAGGTAAAGAAAAACACATACCGGCAGGTCACTCATGCGCCAAGTTTGGAAAGGCAATAAAAGAGGCACACTTTTTTTTTTTTCCATCTTTTGAAAAACTTCATGGCCAGGGAGTTCTGCTTAAACCACCAGTACCTTTCCCTGCTTGAAAAACAAATACGCGC